GGAAGTCATAAAAGGGAAGCAGAGGGCCCCAGAGGGAGTGGGATAGCGGTGCTTTAGTGCTTCCCTGGCTGGGGGAAATTTGCTCCATTTGAACTAAAATGGACCTTGCTACTGCTAGACACTGATCACAGGGAGTCCTTCAGGGGGCTGGTTTATGGAGAGCTGAACAAGGTGAGAAGGAGCTTTCCTGGCTTCCACTGCATTTAGGATTCTCATTAAAGGAACCACCCCAAACCTAGATTGGATTGTGTTTTGGGTTTTTTTTTTTCATTCAAAAAAAAAATCTAAATTGTAAAACTAATCTCCAAGTGAGGCTGATGAGTTTTTTTGCAGGTCTTCAACTATGGGTTGTATTTCTTGTTGAGGCACAGAAGGAGATGGGTAATGTTTCAAATGAAATGTCAGAATTATTTCTGCCTAGAAAGTTATCAGATTGACTTTTTGCAGCTTAACTTTGTAAATTTTACCAATTTAAATTTTGTTGTTTAAATTATGCTTTAGAGGTTGTCTGAAATCCTCTGCAATTATATTAAAATATTGTGAATCCTGTACCTCTCAATGGCATGTCTGAAAGCTGGCAGGCAATGCTTTTTGCCTGTAAACAGATGTAGCAGCAATCCTTTCCACACACAGGCTGTATTTGTCCTCCTGAATACAGAGCAATTACGCCTGCGTTTTTAAGTACTTGGAGATATTCTTCTTCGATTCCTCCTTTTCTGCTTTATAAATGAAGGGAATGCTTTGTCTCCAAAATATGGTCTTACATGTCTTTTTAAAAGTCAATAATTTGTTGTCCTTTTAAGTTTYATGGTCTCATAGAAATAGAAAATTAACTCTGGATATGACTCATTTTTATCATGTCTTTAAGATGTGCTCTTAAAAAAAAAAAAAAGAGAAAGAAGAAACTACAGGCTAGATTTAAAGTAGCCCAGCTTGGCTTGAAGTGACATGTGCCCAGACCAATTTATAGAGTAATGGAACAATTTATGAGTCTGCCTTAGCTGAAATTAGTTTCTATGGCAGTTGGCCCAGGGAAACTCTGTAGGCCTTCTGTTCTTTGCAGCTGCAGAAAATAATTGTCAAGGGAAACGTTACCTTCCAGAAGCGAGGCTAARCCCTGCTTGCGAACTGTCCTGTCCCTTTCTTTAGAAATGGAGACCCTAACACTCCAGTTCAGTTGTTCTTCATGACCAGAGAAACAAAAACAAAGTAAYTAACAGATGTAGTGGGAAAAGYATATCATATAACAAAGTGTTACACTGAATAATGCTGAACAAAACTGTATAGCAAACGTCAATAAGAGCAGAAAGCTTTTAAAAGCAAGTTTACTAGTCAAGCTTAAATGGTCTCCTTTCTTGAAAGGCAAGATGAGAGCTTCCAGCCTTGTTCTAATTTATTGTAACTATTGTTGAGGGGAGACAATAGTTGGAATCATTAGCGCTGTCTTGTTAGATCATCCTTCCCTCTCTCTTGCCCATCAGCTCCTTGCTGGGAGTATCTCCCACTAGATGTGGGAAGCAGCAGAAATTCCAATACTAGAGACAGACAACAGCAACAAAAAGTTTCCCCCAAACCTATTCTGAGACTTGTTACAAGCCAAGAGGATCTTCCTTTCTCTTCACGGAAGCCACTAAATACTACTCAAGGCTACTAAGAATGGCAGACTCTTTCACTGGACGCTGAGCACACTCTGTGCTTGCAAAAAGAGCAGCTCAGTTCACTGGTGATAAAATGCGAATGCACTGCAGAGAGAGAGCAGCCGAGAAAGCTCTCCCTGAAGGTGTTACTAGAAGCAGCAGCATTTCAGGTTTGGTTTCAGCTCCAAGAATGTTTTTGATTTTCCAAAACCATAAATGCCCATGTAGCATGAACTTGGATCTGCAACATATACTGTGTCAGGCTAAAAAAAAAAAACAAAAGAAACAAAAAAATGCCAGCCAGACTGGAATCCTTGATTTATGGCAGGCTTTATGAATAAACACGTCCTGTATGCACAAACAAATGTTCATAAGCAMTAGAGAAATGAAGAGGAGCAGCTATGGTCTCCAAGAGAGGACAGCCTGTCAGGAGAACCCCTTAGGCTGGACGCTGGCTGAGGGCAGCCTGGTCTATATATGGTTCCCCACATGGTGAGGACTGAGTGAGCACGTGGAACTCCACTTGGAAGGCATCAGGAAAGGAGATGATAAAGGAGAAGGCAGGATGCCAGGCGAACGATGGGGGAGACCTTTTGGCTCTGGTCACTGATCTGGGGCCCTGGCTAAGCCTCGGTGTGTGGTTAGGGCTTTCTTGTTAGAGCCGAAAGAGAGTCTGGAGCTGCGGTGTGAGTGAAAAGGGGCAGACACAGAAGAGCTGATGAGAAGAAATGGCTATAAGGAGAAGTTGCAGTTCAAGTGGATTGACAAAGAGGCTGCCAAAGGCAAGAGGAGGCTGCCAAGATGATGTGGCTACAGAGAGAACCTCTTGGTGTCAGCACTAGAAGGCTCAGCATATGCTTACGGTTCCACTGGGATTAGGGTTAAGAGAAAGATAGAGCCTAGACCCTCTGCTACAGTGAGACTGGAAGGGGGTTGCCAAAGGGAAGGCTGAAAAGAGAACAAAAACCTTTCAATAGATGACCTTTCCTGAGACTCAGCCTACAGTCTGATTTATTTTTAGGGTTAGTTTTGGGGTTGACAAAAATAGAGTGCCAAGAGCTCCAGCTGGGGTGAGTCTGGAAAGGGGGATCCCAGAGGGAAATGGTGGGAGGTAAAGAGGACTTGGCTGCAAGAACTTTTTCCCGTGGTTGCAGGGTCTTGTGCAAGGCTCAGCCTGTGATTATGGTTACAGTTGAGAGAAAGAAGCAGCCCAGAGCTGGAAAAGAGTTGTTGACAAAGGGAAATATAGCCTGTAAAAAAATCTGTCTGGAAGATCTTTTTGTCTTTGCCACTGCCTGGGAGGCCTAATCTAAAGTTCAAGATAGATTATTGAGATTAATAGGGAGATAGAGAGAGCCCAAAGTTCCTCTTGGAGGAGTTGAAATGGGCTGCCAAAGAGAAATGGCAGGTAGGCTGCAGAGAGTAGTTGGTGACAAGATCATTCTGGTGTGGGTACTGAGCGTGTGCAYTTGGGCAAGGCTCAGCCTGAGGGTTCTGCTTTGGTGTGGGTTAGAGTTGAGAGAAAAAGCGAAGAGCTCCTGTTGGTCTAGGACTAGAAAGCCAGGGAAACCCAGGCTATAGCACTCCTCAAATTGGGGCCACATTCTGATTTCCCCACCGACTTTAAAAGAAGACCAGATTGATCAGGCTTCTAACTTGAGTATCCGGTACCTAAAATTGCAGAAGATGATCTGTGCCTCAGACCTTGTGTTGAAGACAGCCCAGGCCATTGATTTATTTTAACTCTACAGTACAAGTCATGGGCAACATCTGCTCCTCCAGTAAATGAGAACCTTCCCTGCTAGGGCTTCATGATTGCAGTAGGAGCTCTTTACAATCTAGGCCAAGGAGACAAGAAAGCCCTCTGAAAAAGAGATCCTTTTTCAGCTTTGCCTTCTCTATAACAAATCTACCAAAATGCTTATTGTATATCATGTATTTATAAGCCCAAATGCTTCACTATATAGATTTCCTCTAGRAAAAAAAAAAAAGATGAAAGACAAACATGTGACAGATGCTAGCCGTGTTGATGTGTGCACCATTTTAAGATGCTCACATGTTATGTTTTAAGCATAACATAAGGAATAAAATGGTTACTGATCTATTCTGAAAAACTGACTTCAAGTCTATATTTAGGCATCTAAGCGACCTGCTTTTACTCACGGGTGCTGTGTATTCAGCTGCTTCCATTGACTGCAGTAGAAATACCAGAATTCTTGTTGCTGTATCTTTTTTTGAGAACAAAAATTATAGTTGAGAAACTCTATGCAGCTCCTAGAAAACCTAAAAAGAGGAAGGGACGAGGGAATGAAACACTCTCTGCCTTYCCCCTACTCTTCAAAATACGCAGAAAACAGACTATGTAATAAATTCTAATAAGCACTTTTATGCAGAAGGGGGAAGAAAAAGCACAAAAGATTTGGATTCCAGCACGATAGGTGACTTTGCTGTTGAGAACAGAGCCAAGAAACAGAGGTTGGGACWGGGCAACAAGTCTCTAGTTAATCAGCACATGTGTGTGTGCCATGGTGGCGAGTGGACCTTAGTGTCCCCAATGAGCCTGACGTGGGACTCACGCTGACACCCGTGGGCCCAACAAGCTGCCCTTGCTATATGTTGTCTGTATGGACTCTGAATAGCGACTGGATTGTCGTTAGGGCTCTCCGTTATACAAGGGGGTATATTGCACATTATACTTTGCGGTTCACATTTCTTCCCCCCGTGGCAGTTGTGCCTTGGCAGGATGTCAGCGTGTCACTGACCACATCCTGTGCGCCCACGGGGGCACCCAAGAAACCTCCTATTTCACGACGAGGTGCACACAGCTCATGCGGGGGTAATATGTTTAAGGCTATCGAGGTTTCAGCAGGGGTTCCCAGGGGTCTGCGCTTGCAGCCCGCGCTGCRCGCTCTAAATTACAGACTCGGGGCTGCAATAACGGGCTCCGGCCAACGGCCGCTCCCGGCGGCGCGAGGYGCGCACGCGCGAGCCCGCTTCCCCCGCCCCCACCCGCCGGGCATGCGCAGTGGCGCCGC